AATCAGAGAAATTACTAATTTCAAAACTATAATGCTACAGTAATCAAGCCAGTATGGTATTGGTGAAAGGATAAACATATAGGTCAGTGGAACTGAAGAGAGAACCCCCTCAAGGATGATCAGTTGAATTTTGACAAAGATGCCAAAACAATGCAGTGAAGAAAGGTAAGGCTTTCAGCAAATGGTGCTGGAACAACTATATAAGTCATATAGAAAAATGAGCCTTGATCCCTACTTCATGCCATACATAAAAGTTAACTTGAAATGCATATGACATAAATATATAAACTAAAATTATAAAACTTTTAGAAGAAAACATAGGAAAACAAACTTTGTGACCTTGGGTTAGGTAAAGATTACTTGGATAGGACACAAAAAAGAAAAAGTCATACAGAAAAAAAAATGATAAATTGGGTTTTATCAAAATCAAGAATTTTTGCTCTTTGGAAGACACTGTTAGGAAAATGAAAAAGTAAGTCGCTGACTAGGAGAAACTATTTGCAATATGTATATGTGTAAGAAGACTTGTACCCAGCATATATAGCAAGCTGTTAAAACTAAATAATAAGACAACTTAATAAAAAATGGCCAAAAAATTTGATTAGATGCTTCACAAGAAAAGATAAATTAACAAAAATACATGAAAAGATGCTCAGTAGCTTCAGTGATCAGAGAAATTAAACTTAGAACTACAGAGTGTATCTGTTCTGTTAAATTGAGAAAGAGTGATCATATCAGTTGTTGAGGATGTGGAGCAGCCAGAACTCTCATATGCTGCTCATGGGGATGCAAAATGTTAAAAAACCCTCGAAAAACTGTTTAGTAGTATCTTTTTTTTTTTTTTTTTTAGTTTCAAGTATACAGTACAGTGGTTAGATATACATTTATAGAGTTTATGAAACGATCCCCCTGATTACTCTTACCTTCCCTCTGGCTCTACACATAGCCATTACTTTACTGCTGTCTGCATTCCCTATGCCATGCTCCCCATTCCCGTGACCGTCTATCAGCTACAAATTTGTACTTCTTTAACCCTTCACTGCTTTCTCCCAATCCCCCAACCCCTCTCCACTCTCCCCTCTGCCCGTCACCCGATTGTCCTCTATATTTGTGAGTCTGTTTTCAATTAGTTCTTTTTATTCCTTAGATTCAGCATATAGGTGAAATCATATGGTATTTACCTTTCTGTCTGACTTATTTCACTCACCACAATAACCTCTAGGTCCATCCATATCATTACAAATGGTAGGATTTCATTTTTTTTAATGGATGAATAATATTCCATTGTATATATGAACCATAACTTCTTTATCCAGTTGTATGTTGATGGCCATTTAGGTTGCTTCCATATCTTGGCTATTGTAAACAGTGCTGTCATGAACTTAGGGATGCATGAATCTTTACGAATTATTGTTTTAGTTTTCTTTGGATAAATACCCAGAAGTGCAAAAAGGAAATCCATTTTTAATTTTTTGAGGAAACTCCAGACTTTCCCATAGTGGCTGTACCAATTTTTAATCTCACTAACAGCGCATGAAGGTTCACTTTTCTCCACATCTTCACCAACACTTGTTCTTTGGTTTATTGAAGATAGCCATTCTGACAGGTGTAAGGTGATACCTCATTATGATTTTAATTTGCGTTTCTCTGATGATTTGTGACCTTGAGCATCTTTTCATATGTCTACTAGCCATCTGTATTTCCTCTTGGGAGGAATATCTGTTCAGGTCTTCTGCCCATCTTTTAATTAGATTTTTTGTTGTTGTTGACATATGAGTTCTTTATATGTTTTGGATAAGCGAATATCTTCTTCCATTCAATAGGTTGTCTTTTCATTTTGTTGCTGGGAGGAATATCTGTTCAGGTCTTCTGCCCATTTTTTAATTAGATTTTTTGTTGTTGACATATGAGTTCTTTATATGTTTTGGATAAGTGAATATCTTCTTCCATTCAATAGGTTGTCTTTTCATTTTGTTGATGGTTTCCTTTGCTTTGCTTTTTTGTTTGATATAGTCCCATTTGTATATTTTTTCTTTTGTTTTCCTTGCCCAAGGAGATATATCTGAAAAGAAATTACTAGTAGTAATATCAGAGAGTTTATGCCTGTTTTCTTCTAGAAGTTTTACAGTTTAGGGTCTTACATTTAAGTCTTTCATCCATTTTGGATCTATTCTTGTATGTGATATAAGAAGGTGGTCTAGTTTTATTTTTTTGCATGTATCTGTCCAATTTTCCTAACACCATTTATTGAAGAGACTATCTTTACCCCATTGTATGTTCTTGCCTCCTTTGTCATATATTAGATAAGTGTATAGACATGGATTTATTTCTCGGCTTTCTATTCTGTTCCATTGATCAATGTATCTGTTTTTATGTCAGTACTGTACTATTTTGGTTACTGAGGGCTTGTGGTATAGTTTGATATCAGATAGGATGATACATCCAACTTTGTTCTTTCTCAAGATTGCTGTGGCTCTTCGGGATCTTTTATGATTCCATATACATTTTAGGATTATTTGTTCTAGCTCTCTGAAAAATGCCATTGGTATTTTGATTGGTAATTTGTTTTCAATTGCACTGAACTTATAGATTGCTTTGGGTAGTATGGCCATTTAATGTTGATTCCTCCTATCTTTGAGCACGATATATGCTTCTATTTGTTAGTATCTTCTTCAGTTTCTTTTTCAATGTCTTAAAAATTTCTGGGAACAGGTCTTTTGCATCCTTGGTTAATTTGATTCCTAGATATTTTATTGCTCTTGATATATTTGTAAATGGGATTGTTTTCTTAATTTCTTTTTCTGAAAGTTCATCATTGGTGTATAAAAATGCAACTGACTTCTCAATATTAATTTTGTATCCTGCTACTTTACTGAATTCACTGATCAGTTCTAACAATTTTGGGGTGGAATCTTTAGGGTTCTCTGTATCTAGTATCATTCATCTGCAAATAATGAGAATTTTACCTCTTCCTTTCCAATTTGGATTCTTTTTATTTTTCTTGTCTGATTGCTGTGGCTAGGACTTCCAATACGATGTTGAGCAGAAGTGGTGAAAGTGGGCATCCTTGTCTTGTTCCTGATCTTAAGTATGTTAGGTGTAGGTTTGTCATATGTGGCCTTTATTACGTTGAGGCACGTTCCCTCTATTCCTACTTTGCTGAGAGTTTTTATCATAAATGGATGCTGGGATGCTTTTTCTCCATCTGTTGATATGATCATATGATTTTTATCTTTCAGTTTGTTAATGTGGTATATCACATTAATTGATTTGAGGATATTGTACCAACCTTGCATCCCAGGAATAAATCTAACTTGATCATGGTGTATGATATTTTTAGTGTGTCGTAGAATTCAGTTTGCTAATATTTTGTTGAGAATGTTTGCATCAACGTTAAGAAATATCGGCCTATAGTTCTCTTTTTTTGTAATATCTTTCTCTGGTTTTGGAATCAAGGTAATGGTGACCTCATATAGGGAGCTTTCCCTTTTCTGGAATTTTTTGGAATAGTTTGAGAAGAATAGGTATTAATTTTTCTTCAAATGTTTGGTAAAATTCGCCTATGAAGCCATCTGGTCCAGGACTTTGAGGGAGTTTTTTGATTACTGATTTGATTTCAGTGGTGGGTATCAGTCGGTTCCAATTTTCTCTTTCTTCTTGACCTCAGTCTTGGGAGATTGTATGTTTCTAGGAATGTATCCATTTCTTCCAGATCGTCCAATTCATTGGCATATAATTATTGCTCTTCGTATTTTCTTATGATCCTTAATTTCTGTGGAGTCCATAGTTACATTTCTGATTTTATTTGAATCTTCTCTCTTTTTTCCTTGATGAATCTGGTTAAGGGTTTGTCAGTTTTGTTTATCCTTTCAAATAACCCGCTCTTGGTTTCATTAATCTTTTGTATTTTTTTTTTTCTAGACTGTATTTTGTTTATTTCCGCTCTGATCTTTATTATTATTTCCTTCCTTCTACTTATTTTGGGCTTTGTTTGCTGTTCTTTTTCTCTTTTAAGTGTACATTTAGATTGTTTATTTGAGCTTTTTTTTGTTTCTCAAGGTAGGCCTGTATTGCAATGAATTTCCCTCTTAGGACTACTTTTGCTGTGACTCATAATTTTTGAGTCATTGTGTTTTCATTTTCATTTGTCTCTAGGTATCTTTTGATTTCTTCCTTGATCCCATTGTTAACCCATTCATTGTTTAGTAGCATATTATTTAGCCTCCATGTGTTATTTTTCCAGTTTATTTCTTGTAGTTGATTTCTAGTTTCATACCATTGTGATTGGAGAAGATAGTTGATATGATTTCAGTTTTCTTAAATTTATTGATATTTGTTTTGTGGCCTAACATGTGGTCTCTCCTGGAAAATGTTCCATGTGCTCTTGAAAAGAATATATATTTTGCTGCTTTGGAGTGAAATGCTCTGAAAATATCTACTAAATCCATCTTGTCTAGGGTGTCTTTTAGTCCCATTGTTTCTTTGTTGATTTCTTGTCTGGAAGATCTGTCCATTGATGTCAATGGCGTGTTAAAGTCCCCTACTACGAATGTATTACCATTGATCTCTCCTTTTATCTCAGTCAATAATTGCTTTATATATGTAGGTGTTCCTCTGTTGGGTGTGTATATGTTTAGTAGGGTTATGTCTTCTTAATGTATTGATCTCTTTATTATTATGTAATGCCCTTCTTTGTCTCTTATTATAGCCTTTGTTTTAAAGTCTATTTTGTCTAAGTATTGCTACTCTGGCTTTTTTTTTTTTTTTTTCATTTCAAATTGCATGAATTATTATTTTTTACTCCTTTACTTTCAATCCGTGAGTGTTGTTTGATCTGAAGTGGGTCTCTCGTAGACAGCATATGCATGGATCTTATTTTCTTATCCATTTGGCTACCCTATGTCCTTTGATTGGAGCATTTAATCCAATTACATTTAAAGTGATTATTGATAGGTACATAGTTATTGCCTTTTTATTATTCATATTTTTTGTTCCCCCTCTTTTTTTTTTTACAGAAGTCTCTTTACCATTTCTTGAAATACTAACTTTTTAGTAATATCTTAAAAAAGTTATATATCTGTCATGCAACTCAGCCATTCTACTTTTAGCTATTTTCCCAGTATCATTACAAATATATGTCTGCACAAAGATTTGTATATTTCACAGCAGCTTTATCATAGCCCAAACTGTAAACAGCCACATACTCATTAATAAGAGAAATGATAAACAAAAAGTGTATCTGTACAATGAAATGCTACTCAGCAATACAAAGAACCAACCACCGATACACTTGGGTAAATTGCAGAATAAGCTTGGTGAAAGAAGCCAGACTCAAAATTTGATTACATACTCTGTGACTCTAGTTATGTAAAATTCTAGAATATGCAAACCAATCTAAAATGACAGAATGCATATGAATAGTTGCTTGGGCCTGAGGGTTGATAGAGGGATAGACTATAAAGGGGCATTGGAAAACTTTTAGAGGTGATGGAAAGTTTTATCTTGATTGTGGTAACAGCTTCATGGGTACGTATGTCTTCAAAATTAGTCAGATTATACACTTTAAATGACTGAATTACACCTCAGTAAAATTTATAAAAGAGAAAAGGAGAATGGGACTGGTAGGGGTAGATTTGTGAATTTTGGGTGAGAGTACAACGCTGGACAGAACATTTGAAGAACAAAATTTCCCTCTGCACTATGGAGCACAATGTCAGTTTGATTAATAGTCTTGCAGTAACATCATATATATGTCATCTAGTATGACATTTACCAAAACAACCAAAGTGATCATTTGGTCTTTTATATAGAAGCCTCTAAATTGTGAAAAACAGTAAATAAAATTACTTTATTAGTCTAAATAGAAATATTTAGTATTAGTTTCTTTCTCTGAAAGCTTTTGGGTGGTAAAGTCCTCAAATGAGTGGTGCCGATGTGGTGTTCAGAATATACCCTGAAGGGAAATTTTTTCCTTCCTGAAAGTGATAGTAATCTATGCCTTATTTTTAAATTATTTTAGTTGACCAACTTATTTTAATATATGTGGGTATATTTGAAATTAATTCCTACTGTACTTGAAGAAGTATGATAGGAATCTTGTTTGAGTGTATCTTATTGGAATTTTGAATGACCACTTATACTGAAGGTGATTAACTAATTTTTAGTACCCTTTCGTAACCATTTAAGTCCTGGTCCCAGTAGAGGGTTTCACATATTTAACAATGAGGTTAGTGGAAAGATGGCTTTTGGAGCCAGAAAATGCTGGTTTCAAGTTCCAGCTCTGTAACTAATTGACTATAATTTTGGCCAATTACATCCCTACTTTTAGCTTGTTTTCTCGTCTGTAAAAGAGATTTAACAATTCCTAGATTTGTAAAGATGAAATAAAATAGCATTAATGTACTAGTATAATGCCTGGCACATAGTAGGTGCTTAGTAAATGTTATTTCTATTTCTGATAGAAATGCTTCTGGTACATTGTATCCGGAGGCCTCCTAGTCCTGGAAGCATTATGTATTATACTCCAGTATTTTCTACTTTTATTGATGTACTTTCTGAGTCTTATTTTTCAAGTCCTATTTCCAGACTTATCTATTCATCTCGATCTGAAGCATATGGGCTATGAGCAGTGTGATTTCTGGTTTATTCACAAAATGTTAACCCTGATGTGATGCTAATATACATATCAGCATATTTTGTAGGGTGAAGCGATCCTAAAAGTAGTGTCACTGTGTAGATTGCATTATTTACATTAGATATTTTACTCCCTACTTAGTTAAAGGGTCAGTTAGAAGTAAATATTTGTGCACGTAGGCTGTTAGAGAACTGGCAAGCCACCACTCAACTTTCCCATGGCTTCCCAGACTCTGACTCATTTTAATCATACCTTTCCCTGTGATTCTGTTGTACTGAGCTCAGATTCATCCTTGTGGCCATTGCTGTTTGACAGCTGGGAGCTTTTATGCTTTTAGCCCAGGCTCCATGGTCTGCCTTGACCACTATCTTGACATACATACATGATGTCAGTTCTAAGGCTAGTTGTCCCAGTCCTTAACCTTTGACCCAGAGTGAGGGTGGGCAAGAGCTGGGGAAATATTCCCACAGAATACTTTGGAGTGTTAACCTTCCACAGTGGCTCTGCTTTGCTTTTCAATTTTTCACAAGTGGGAAATAGTGTATCTGTCTTGTGAGAAATGTGACCTGAGCTGCAACATGAACGCAATTGACAAGAAAACCATAATAGCATAAAATATATTTTGCCATCTTTGAAGGAGTATCTGTCATTCACAGCTCCAGTTAGGTATCATTTGTATAGTTTAGTATTTAAATTTAGTTTGTATCACATATATTAACATAATTTGGAGAGTCATTTCTTGTTCTTCAGAGGGAATCACTTTTGCCTCTCATTCCTTTGGTATTAATCTCATTTTTAATTAACATATTACTTGATTTTTCAGAAATAGTCATTATATATCAACTTCCCACTAACAAAGATGAAGATTTACCTTTCCCTGACCAGCACCCCTACTACTGCTACATGCAAGCACATTTCTCATTCCACCATCCCCCAATGTAGTTATATCATAGTCAGCAATTAAATTATTGTAATTATATAAATGCTATTCATAGTTGAGCTATGTAGTATTTGATGGTTACTTTCCTGTACAATATTTTGTTTTCCCTGAAATTAATAATCATGTAGTTTGTTCATTTGTTTAGTTTTCTGTGTTCTCAACATCGCTAATCCCAAACACTTCCCAGTTGTGTAAATATCCTGTTAGTATATGCAGAAACACTGGGTAATTCATCAGTTTCTTGTCTTCAGTAATCTTTCTACTCTCCTGATCTGCTGCAGTCTTGACTGGTTCTCTAGATCTGCTTCATAGCTTTTATCTTGGGATCTTCCCTCAGTATCATTTGTAGATTCACTTTGCCTCTCCCGTCCATTGGGTCCCCTGTTCCCTGGATCTCATGTCTTCCTTTTCTTGATTATGACCTCATTTGGGAAAGCACATCTTCCAGTAACTTCCTGGGAAAAGATGCATGGGAGATAAAATTTTTGAGACCTTCACTGTTTGAAAATGTCTTTAATCCTTCCTATTTCCTAAATTGACTAAGTATGGAATTCGAGGTTAGAAATCATTTTCCATCAGTATTTTAAGGAATTGCTCCATTGTTTTAGGTCTGCCAGTGTTGCTATTAAGAAATTTTAAACGAAACCTATTTTTAAAATGTATTTCCCTCTGGAAGTGTTCAGGAACTTCTCTCTGAGCTCAGTGTTACATTTTATTATGTCATGCTTTTCTGCAGGTCTTTTTTCATCCACTGGTGGACCCTCTCAATCTCAGTATCTGTCTTGCTCTCGTGCTCACTGTCTCTCGCACATGCATTCTCTCTCTGCTCTACTTTCTGGGAGATTTCTCCAATTTTATCTTCAAACTACATTGGAGTTTTTAATTTTACTTCTTTATTTTTAATTCCTTAGTACCTTTTCATTTTCTGAGTAGTCCTTACTCATAGCATTCTGTGCTTGTTTCTTGGATGCAGTGTTTTCTTCTATTTCTCTGAGCTTATTAATAATAGAAGTTTTTTTAATCTACTCTATTTCTCCAGCTTGCTTTATTTTTTGGATCTTTAATATATTAGATGCTATCCTCATATCTTTTGTGATCCTTGGCTGTCTTTTTATACTTAAGAGTGGAGCATTAAAAGCAGATTGGATCAAACTCAGGTCTGATCAAGCCTCTGGATGTACCTCTGGATCAAGTTGCTAATTTGCAGGAAATACCTAGGACAGAGGAACATGTTGAATTGAACTATGAGTAGGAATTAGCAAAATCCAGACTGTAAGACATTCTACCAGCTCACCTGCCTGATTTCCTCAGCAAATAAATTGTAAGAAAGGAATAGAGGGAAACCTGTGGGTTAAAAGAGATTTTAAAAACAGGGACAAACAACTTTACACTTGAAAAATGGCTAAAACAGTAAATCTTATGTTGTATATATTTCACCACATTAAAAAAAAAAAAAGGAAGACTAAACTATAATATCTATGGGATATGTGGAGAGGCTTCTTGGGTAACTGGCAGAATTCTATTTTCTGACTTGTATGTTGGTTTCACAGCGTTAACTTCAAAATAAATCACTATGTATTTGTTTTATATGGTGGTAGTGGTGGTGGTGATTGGTTGGTTGGTTTTTTTTTTTTTTTTTTTTTTTTTTTTTAGTAAATTGGAAACTCTATACATAGGTGGGGATTGTTGGCTGTGTCTTCACTGTGGGATGATGGGGACAGACATTTTCACTGGCAGAATCCTCAGTGTCACTTTTTTTTTTTTTTTTTGTTTTTTTTAGCTCATTGGTTCTCAGAAGTTTTCATCTGAGGACCCCTTTATAAGATAAAAACTATTAAGGACCCTGAAGAACTTTTGTTTATATGGGTTACAGCTATCAGTATTTACTGTGGTAGAAATTAACACAGAATTTAAAAAAGAAAATAAACACATTGCATTTTAATATATTTTTATGAAAAAATGTTTTTTAAAAACAAAAAAATTAGAAGTGACATTATTTTACATTTTTATGAATCTTTTTACTACCCTAATTAGTAGAAGACAGCTGGACCCACATTTATTTCTGCTTTCAAAATTTTACAATATGTAAAATTTCACTATATACTTCTGAGAGAATGACAGTGAAAAAGGCAAATAACATCGTAGTACTATTTTTAAAATAGACCTTACTCACCCTCTGAAAGGATCTAGGGAATCTGAGAAGTTCCTGGACCACACGTAGGGAACCAGTGTTTTAGCCAGTTTCAGATTCTCCAGAGAAGGCTCTCTTGCCTAGAATGCTGGCTGTCATCATTGTAGAACCCAAAGCGAGGAAGAAAGCTGTAAACTCTCATATTATTCCTGAGTTATTAGTATGGTATTCTGTCATCAGCAGTGCCTGGTATCTCTCAGACCAGTCCAAGAGTCCAGTTTCATGTGCAAAGTATAGGAGTTGCAGAAAGTCTAGTTGCTTTTAAAACATATTTTCAACCAGTCCTGCTGTTTTAAGCTCTACCATCACCTTGACCTCCAAAAATACCAGATACTCTTAATTCTAGAGTCTTTTAGGGGGTGTGTTGTGGAAATCGGGTTGTTTTTCACTTTTCTCCATTCTGGCCAAATTCAGCTTTTTTGGATCTGCTGTAATTTAGTACCCAACTTCCATTGGCTTTCTAGCTATCAAGATGTTCTTGCATTTGTCTCCTCTTTCTCCTTGTCCCTTTCCATTATGCCTAAAAGAAAAAACAAAAAAACTTTGAAGGGTTTTTTATTGTTGTTTGGAGACATAGTGGAGCTAAAACTGTGTATGTTCAAGGTATCATCTTTAATTGGAAATCCCAGCAGTTCCATTTAAATGGATGTTCTTTTATTACTTATGTACATTTTTGTGATAGTGCATTATTTTCATGTGGTAAATGCACATTCTTAGGGCTTACCTCTCTGATTAGATAATTCTCTTATATTGAGAATGATTCTGGTGACATTATCCAGCACCCTAGAGAGCCTGAACAGATGTGAGGCTGCCTCTGCTGAAGCGGTGAGCACTAGTTCAGTAAATTCAAAGTTCCTGAGGCCTCTTGAAGTTAGTCTTATTGGCAGAGAGCAGACTATTAGTCTATTATTCTCATCAGGTCCTAGAAAGAACAACATACAAATACCACTGTCTCTTCTGATGAAAGATTATTTTAGTAACTTTAGAGTTTCTTTGAGATACTTTGAGAACACAACAGATATATATGGCTCTTAGAATCAACAGAAATGGGAGGGAATTAGGATTCTGATCCTCTTAAAACAGTCATTTTTAAGCTTTAGTATATTAGAATCATCTGATGGGCTTCTTAAATCTCACGGCTGGAACCCATCCTCAGTAGGTCTGGTGTAGGATTCAAGAATTCAAATTTCTTATAAGTTTCTTACGGTTTGGGGATCTCACTTGGAGAACTACAGCTCTAAGAGCTAACCACACCCTTGAAACTTCCCCAAAGAAGGAATTTAATGAAAACACGGTTAGTGTTTAACATAAGAGTTATTTCTACTGGAGTAGGCAAACTCTTTAGATAAAATTTTAACATAGAGAACAGATCAGTGAGTATGAATAAAACAAAATATCACATGTAGGTGAAATCTGAAATGTCACATTCTCTGAACAGCACAGGTTTATAATGGATTTTTCTGGTTTTCCATGCTTGACAGGCTTTATGAGAGTCAGTAAGGAAACAATTGAGAGCTAGACCATATAGGGATTATAAGTGAATACACAGAAATTCCATTGCACTGTAGAAATACAATGGCATTAAACATCATCTTGTCTAGTTCTTTATTTTATAAACTCCAAACAATTATCTCTAACACTTTTTTTCCTATTAAGTTCTTCAGTGTCTTTTTTCTTTGGAATAACTACAATTTGTGAAAACATATATAGTCCACATAATTATAAACCCTCTCTTATGGTTGAGGAACTTAAAATCGTATGGGAAAAATAAGGTTGAGAGACTTAAGGTTGAGAATGGCCAAACTGTGCTTTCTCAAGCCCCCTCGCAGTGTACAGGGAAGGTTATGTGTAGTTTTAGCTCCACCCTAAGGTGGCCCATGCGAGGGTCCTTCAGAGCAGAGTCCTAACACCTGGCTGAGAGCCTCTTCCTCTCACGGATCCAAAGTTTAACTCTACTTCTCTCAAGTTTCTTTTTTCACAAGGCTACATTGCCGAAATGTCTGCTTTTATGCAGGCTTTCATTTTGCACTCCTTTTTCTAATTATCCTCTATAGGAATGATATACCATCTCACATACTAAAGCTAAAATTTTCATTGTCTTGAAAAGGATGATGGGTATTATCTGAGTATAATACATTTTCATGCAACAAAAACTCATGGGTGGGGAGGTTAACCTTTTTGGTTAAATGTTCTGTATATGTAGTGTACAGAACTGATGTTTTTCTCATTTTACATGTTGCAGTCAATATATAGTCAGCCAAATAGTCAGCTAAGTTGTCGACTTAGGAAAATTGTCCCTTTTCAGTCAAGGAGGGGAGTTTGTTCTGAATTAGACTATAGTTAATTTACTTGTGTGACTGCTTTAGTGTTTTTATATATCCTATTCCTCTTTCTCAACAAATTGTTTTCTTCTTATATACAACCTTTGTGGTATTATGTCTTCATAATATGCCTTATATGTTTACTTTAGCAAGCCACTTTGCTATGTTCAGTAGTTAAAACATTATCTCACTTAAACTTTTATCTGAAGATCTCAGAAAACTTTAGCCATGATTATACCTCCTTGTAAAAATAATTATTTTGCCGTTGGTTAAGGTGGAGAGATCAAGAAATTGTCTAGAGACCTTCTCACTGGTGCAGAGATCAATTAGTAGCTGGAGTACTTCTGATCACCTGCGACAACCTTAAGCCTTCATTCCTGTAACAACAAAGCATTTCCCAGGGTTTAGGCCCTAGATCTCTATTTCTAAATACTTTCTCAAGAGAGTTTATCCTTACAGTCTGAATTGTCACTGTTAGCATATGACACCTAATATATAGTATTTACACCCTTGAACAGACTATTGTTAAGATATCTGGAAGGTTCCTCACATGTGGTGAATTACATTTTGGGCAAAGCACTAATTTGAACATTAAATGTTCAGTGTTGGTGTGGTAGCTTCTTAAGAAATCGTGATTCCAGCAACCCACCCACTGCCCACATAACACCACAGCTTTTTTATTCTTTACTTGTCACATATATATAAGTGATAGAAACACTCTTGTGAAACATCAGTTGATGTTCCTTATGATGGAATGAAGGCGTCTAAGAAAATGATCATTCCTAGCCTGAAAATTAGAAATTTTGTAAGGGAAATTGTTCTATATGACAGCTCTTCCACAACTTTGTTGCCCAGGATGTTACTGGTCTTATGGGGACTGAATAAAAAGAAGTATTTTATGAGATGCTTCTTGAAAAACACATCCTGTGGCCAGCCATTTACTTTGGATACAATGGATCAACGGATTTCTTCATAGCAGGATTGTAAAGCAGTGTTTAATGTATTGATGTGTATACTTAATTTCTTTTTAAATCTTTTTTAATTGTTGTATATTAATTTAAGGTATACAACATGATTTGATATATGTATATACTGCATAATAATCACAATAAGTCTAGTTAACACACATCACCACACAGTTACCTTTTTTTCCTTGTGATGAGAACTTTTAAGATCTCTTAGCAACGTTAGCAACATTCAAATATGCAATAAAGTATGATTAATTGTAATTATATCCCAGGACTTATTTATTTTATAACTGGGTGTTTGTAACTTTTGACCACCTTCACCCACTTCATTCACTCTCCCACGCCATGACTCTGGCAACTACCAATCTGTTCTCCATATCTATGAAGTTTTTTTTGCTTTTTTCCATGTGTAAGTGAGATCATATGGTATTTGCCTTTTTCTGTCTTATTTTACTTAGTCTACTGACTTTCAGGTGCATCCACATTGTCACAAACGGCAGGATTTCCTTTTTATGGCTAAGTAATATTCTGTTGTATGTGTGTTTTATATAAATGAACACACATAAACACACACACACACACACCGCCCCCCCACCACATTTTCTTTATTCATTCATCTATCAGTAAACACTTAGGTTGTTTCCATTTCTTGGCTGTTGTAAATAATGTGACAATGAATATAGGGGTGCACATAGCTATTTATGTTAGTGTTTTTTTTGTTTGTTTGTTTTTGGATAAATACCCAGAAGTGAATTGCTGGATCATAGGGTAGTTCTGTTTTCAATTATTTGAGGAACCTCCATACTGTTTTCTGTACTGATTTACATTTCCACCAATAGTGCACAAGGATTTTCTTTACATCCTGGCCAACACTGGTTCTCTCTTATATTTTTTATAAGAGCCGTTCCGACAGATGCGAGATATCTCCTTGTTTTGCATTTCCCTGATGATTAGTGATATTGAGCACACTTTCATGTATCTGTTGACATTCTGTATGTATTCTTTAGAAAAATGTCTATTTAGATCCTTTGCCCATTTTTAATCAAATTTTTTGTTTTTTGCTATTGAAATCAATTAGTTCTTTATATATTTTGGATATTAACCCCTTATTACCTTTTCATTTTGTTGATGGTTTCTTTTTGTGCTGAAGCTTTTTCGTTTTATTTAGTCACGCTTGTTTTTGTTGCTTTTGCTTTAGTATCACATTCAAAAAATTATTACCAAGACCTATGTCAAGGAGCTTACTACATAAGGAGCTTACTGCTTTCTTGCAGTTTTATGGTTTCAGATCTTACGTTTACGTCTCTAATTAAGTTTGAGTTAATTTTTGTGTATGGTGTAGGATAGTGGTTTAGTTTCATTTCTTTGCATGTGACTGTCCAGTTTTCCCAGCACCATTTACTAAAGAAACTGTCCTTTCCCCCTTGTATATTCTTGGCTCCATTTTGTTAATTAATTGAGCATATAAGCATGGGTCTTTTGGGGGGCTCTCTGTTCTGTTCCGTGTGTCTGTTTTTATGCCAGTAAGTACCATACCGTTTTGATTACTGTAACTTTGTAATATAGTTTGAAATCAGGATTTGCAATGCTTGCTGCTTTGTTCTTCTTTCTCAAGATCGCTTTGGCTATTTAAGATCTTGTGATTCCATTGTTCTATTTTTGTGAAAAATACCATTGGAATTTTAAAAGGGATTGTATTGAATCTGTAGATTGGTTTGGGTAGTATGGACGTTTTAGCAATATTAATTCATCCAGTCCATGAGCATGGAATATCTTTTATGTCTTTGATTTCTTTCATCAGTGTCTTGTATAGATTTTTCAACTCTTTGGTTAAATTTATTCCTCGGTATTTTATTCTTTTCGATGCAATTGTAAATGGGATTGTTGTCTTAATTTCTCTTTTTGATTGTTATTAGTAGATAGAAACAATCGATTTTTGCACATTGATTTTGTATCTTGAAACTTCAATGAATTCGTTCTAATAGTTTTGCTGTGGAGTGTTTAGGTTTTTGTATACACAATATCATGTACACCTGCAAATAGTTTTACTTTGGCCTTTCTAATGTGGATGTGATTCCTTTTTTTTTCCTTGTCTAATTGCTCCAACAAAGACTTCCACTTGTGGTTAATACAAGTGGTGGGAGTGGACATCTCTGTCTTGTTCCTGATCTTAGAGGAAAAGCTTTCAGCTTTTTTACTGTTGAATGTGATGTTAGCTGTGGGCTTGTCATATATGGTCTTCATTATGTTGAAATATGTTCCCTCTATACCCACTTTGTTGAGAGTTTTTGTATCATAAACGGATGTTGAATTTTGTCAACAGCTTTTTCTATATCTGTTGAGATATGATTTTTATCCTTCATTTTGTTAACATGGTATATTTCATTAATTGATTTACAAATGTTGAACCATCCTTGCATTTCTAGAATAAATCCCACTTGATCATGGTGGGTGACCCTTTTAATGTATTGTTGAATTTGGTTTGCTAATATTTTGTTTAGGATTTTTGCTTTGTGTCCATCATAGATATTGGCATGTAGTTTTCTTTTCTTTTGCTGTCCTTGTCTGGTTTGGCTGTCAGGATAATGCTGGCCTTGTAAAATGAGTTTGGAAGTGTTTCTATTTTTTAAAAAGTTTGAGAAGGATTGGTATTAATCCTCTTTTTAAATGTTTGGTAGAATTTATCTGTGAAGCTGTCTGGTCTGGACTTTTATTTGTTGGGAGGTTTTTGATTACTATTGGTAATTGGTCTGTTCAGATATTCTATTTTGTGATTCAGACTTGGTAGGTTGTATATTTCTAGGAATTTATTCATTTCTTTTAGGTTGTCCGATTTGTTGATGTATAATTGTTCACAGTCGTCTTAGGATCCTTTGTATTTCTGTGATATCAGTTGTAACGTTTTCTCTTTCTGATCTTGAGTTCTCTCTCTTCCCTCCCTTCCCCATGTCAGTCTAGCTAAAGTTTTGTTTCACTTTTTAACAAATAGCTCTTGATTTCATTGATCTTGTCCATGGTCTTTTAAATCACTTTTCTATATTTCTGCTCTGGTCTTTGTTATTTCCTTCTTTCAACTAACTTTGGCCTTCCTTTGTTCTTTTTCTAATCCTTAGAGGTATAAAGTTAGGTTGTTTATTTGAGATTTTTCCTTTTTTCTTTTTGGTGTTGTCATTTATCACTAACTACTTCCCTCTTAGAACTCCTTTTGCTGCATCCCATAAGTTTTGGCATGTTGTATTTCCACTTTCACTCGTTGCAAGGTATTTTTTATTATTTTTTCTTTGACACATTGGTTGTTCAAGAGCATGTTAATTGCCATATATTTTGAATTTTTCAGTTTTCTTGTACTTGATTTCAGTTTCATATTGTGATTAGAAAGATGCTTGATATTTTATTCTTAAATTTATTACGACTTGTTTATTGGCCTAACATATGATCTATTTAGGAGAATGTTCCATATGTGCTTGAGAAGAATGTATATTTTGTTGCTTTGGATGGAACATTCTCTGTAAGTCTGTTAAGTTCATCTGGTAGAACATTTAGTTTAAAGTTAGTGTTTTCTGTCTGGATCTTTCTGTTTCTGAAAGTGAGTATTAAAGTTCCCTACTATTATTGTTTCTGTGTATTTCTGCCTTAGATGTTATTATTTGCTTTATATATTTATAAGCATTAATATTTACAAATGTTATATTTTCTTGTCAGATTGACCGCTTTATCATCTAATGACCTTCTTTGTCTCTTATTACAGTCTTTGTCTTAAAATTTATTTTGTCTTAGATACAAGTATGGCTATCTCAGCCTTATTTTAGTTTCAATTTACATGGAATTTTTTTCCCGTGGCTATACTTTCAGTCTTTGTGTGTCCTTATATCTGAAGTAATTCTCTTGTAAACAGCATACAAATGGGTCTTGCTTTTGTTTTTTCATCCATTCAGTCATTTTGTGTCTTTTGATTGGAGGACTTAATTATTGATAGGTTTGTACTTACTGCTGTTTTGTGAACTTTTTTTTCTGGCTGTTTGTAATTCCTTTATTCTTTTGCTCTTCCTTTGGGGTTTGATGATTTTCTGTAGTAGTATGCTTAGATTTCTTCCTGTTTATCTTTTGTGTATCTTCTACAGGTTTTTTCTCTGTGGTTACCAAGAGGCTTACATAAAGCAACTCGTAAATCTGTTTTAAGTTGGTAACAACAAGTTTGAATGCATGCTGATACTCTACATTTTTACTCTCCCCCCCACATTTTATGTTTTTGATGTCGTAACTTACAGGTTTTTATTTTATATATCCCTTAATTATTGTATTTTGACTACTTTTATCTTTTAATTTTCACGTTGGCTTTGCGCGATTATTTCTTTGTTTTTAACTTTTGACATTCTAATGTGTTTTGGAATGGGTGTCTGAGTTCATCTTTTTTGGAACTCTGTGAGCTTTCTGGATCTGGATGTCTGTCTTCTTCCTCAGGTTAGGGAAATTTTCAGCTATTATTCAAATAAGTTTTCTGCCCCCTTTGTCTCTCTTCTCCTTCTGACACCTCTATAATGTGAATGTTGGTCCACTTGATGTCTCATGAGTCCCTTAAGCTATCTTCACTCTTATTTTTCTTTTTGTTCCTCTGATTGGATGAGTTCCTCTGCCCTGAGTTCACTGTTCCATCTTCTGCTTCACCAGTTCACTCTTGAACTCCTCTATAGTACTTTTTCAGTTCAGTTATTGTATTCTTCAGCTTTATGACTTCTTTTTGGTACCGTCTCTTTGTTGAAATTTTCACTTCGGTCATATATTTTCCATGAGCTCTGTGAGCATCTTTATGATTGTTGCTTTGAATTCTTTATCAGGTAAATCACTTATTTCCATATCATTAAGGTCTTTTTCTTGGTTTTTATCTCCTTTCATTTGGAATGGATTCTTTTGTTTCTTTGACACTCTGTGATGGTTTCTATGCATAAGGTAAAATAGACACCTCTCCCAGTTTTGAAAGAGAGGCCTCGTGTAGGAGATGAACCTTATTGTTCAACCTTGTGCAAGCTGTTGCTTGTCTCTCAGACCTTTGTGATTGTCCAAACAGCCTACTTTATTTTTAATGGCTCCTGTTAGTTGAGGGTTTTCCAAGATTTGTCAGTGTCCCAATGGATAGACCTTAGCATCTAATTCAGGCTGATTTGAAGGTGGACTCTTGGGTAATAGCTTTTAAAGCAGTGGTCCCCAACATTTTTGGCAGCAGGAACTGGTGCTCCTGTGAGAATCTAATGCCTGATGATCTGAGGTGGAGCTGAGGCGGTGTCGCTAGTGCTGGAGAGCAGCTGTAAATGCAGATGAAGCTTTGTTTACAGTCCCATCTGCCACTCATCTACTGCTGTGCAGCCCAGTTCCTAACTGGTCCGTGGCCTGGGGGTTAGGCACCCCTGTTTTAAAGTATGGAAATATGCCTATTTGGGGGAAATACTGGGAGAAGGGTATTTATGTCTTCTCTCTCTGTACCGAGTCTTGGGGTTATAGCCAGTTAAGAGCTGTTTGTTTGCTACAGTCTGGTTGATCCTGTAAACACAAGCCCACTGGCCATCAGGGCCAGACTGTCTAGGGATGTGTCCTCTGGGCAGCAGTCACAAAAACTTGTCAGATGTGTACATAAACTCCTTTCTTGGAGACACTGGGCTGAGTGGAGGGACAGCACCAAGGTGGTGCCTGCTGATCTCCCCATCTCTGGAGAGGATTATAGTCAGCCCCTATTTGTATGTTGAGTTAGAAGCCTGCCCCTTAGGGAACAGCTGTGTGGCAAGCTACATGTCCTCTTTCACAAAAAGACTGGGGTTATCTTTCAGTCTGCTGACAATATGCTCTGCCAGGGTAGGGGGTAGTTGGTTAAGAACTGGTTCTTTCTTTAGTTTTATAGGACCCATAACTGTAAGCACCACTGGCCACTAAAGCCAGGTAGTCAAGGGGTATCTTCTCGATGGCAGGTGCAGTATGTGCAGAAGCTCTTTTTCAGGAGATACCAGCAACCTGGAGCAAGGCAGAGAGAGAATGTGAATAGCATCTGTCTTTGGAGGTCTCTGCTGAGGATTGCAGTCCACTTTTAGATGTTTCATTAGAAGCCTGCCCCTTAGGCTGTACCTAATGCTTGGCCCCTTGATGTGTGCTAAGTTAGATGCCTACCTTTTAGGCTAACTCTTTAAGATAAGCAAATAGGTCTCTATCACAGAAAGACAGGGTACCTTTCAGTCAGCTGTCTCTGTATTAGACCCTGGGATGGGTGAGTCTGTGTCTGCACACCCTTTAAGAACTGTTTCTGTGATTGCTATAGTCTGGTGGGTCTCATGGATGCAAGTCCCATTGGCTTTTGAATTGAGATATTTCCCAGGGCTCATCTTTCATTTGCAGGTCTTAAAAGTTGGGGTGCCTGGTGTTCAGACCTCTTCACTCCTCAAGGAGCAGCTCAGGGTTGTTGAGTTTCCTCCCAACTGTGGGTTGCTCTGCCAGGGATGGGGTTTTGGGCAAGATTTTGTCTCAGGTTCTCCTACCTGTTTCAGTGTGCATCTTTTCTTGTTTGCTCAATTTATGTGTCATCTGGTTTTGAGGTTTCTTTCAGAGGAAATTATTTTGTAGGTAGTTGAAGATTTGGTGTATTCATGGGAGGAGGTGTGTTCAGGATCCTCCTGTGTTGCCATCTTGAACCTTTTATATTTTATTTGTAAGAGAAGGGGATATGGTTTGTGGTCACAGAATACTTTTTTCTGGGGTATAACATGAATAATATTATTTACATGCATACATACAATAAACTGATATAGGCAGAATTTTAAGATGGCTCCTATTATCCCCACCTCCTGCTGTACATACACCTTCTTTTCGTTATCCAAACACAAATTGCTTTGAAGTGATTCTGCAGATGTAATTAGGTCCCAAATCCAGTAATTATCTGAGAAAGTTTGACAAGAGATTAAGAGAGATTATCTGAGTGGGTTTGACAAGAGATTCAAAATGTGAGAGGGATTTGTTGAGGGAGGGTCTCATTACTGGTTTTGAAGATGGCAGTGAATGCAGGTGGCCTATAGGAGTTGAGTGGCCCTTAGCTGGCAGACTAAGGAGACTTCTGTCCTACACCTGCAAGGAACTGAATTCTGTCATAACTTCTTAAGCTTGGAAGAGGATCTTGAGTTTCAGATAAGAATTCAGTTCAGCAGACACATTGATTTTTTTTGTCTTGTAAGTCCCTGAGCAAAGAACCCAGCTATATGGTCCCTGAACCTCTGACCTACAGATCTGTGAGCCGAGAAATAAGTATTGTTTTAAGCCTCTAAGTTTGTACTAATTTATTATAGAAGCAATAGAAAACTAAAACAGCTGAATATTTTACTTCACAAAGCTGCAAGTATTATTTGTTAAATATTTATTGATGTTAAATCCATATTATACCAGCACAACAATCCAAAGTAGTATGATAATACTATTTTTTTTTTATAAATACAACATAAAAGGTGGCAAAATAATGCTACTTAATCCCAAACCCAGCAAATTAGCAAAAAGTCACATTTAGAAAAATTTGGCAAGTAAGATATGACATAAGTCATAATACTACAATATAGATAAGTCCATGAGGGACTTTGTATGGTATCTTAAATTCCATGTTAGTAATGCACATAAGTGTGGTCAAAGAAACTTGTACCACTCTGCATGGAACATCTACCACCCAGTGCTCAAGCCTATTAATCATTTAAAACTTGGTTGGTTGGTGTTCTTACAAAGAAGTAGAAAGCTGTACATGTGAAGCAGTAATATGAAATATATGGGGTGGTACAAAGATATAAAATTATTTTTAAAAATACTACGTATTGAGTAACTGAACTAAGAGAGTTCAACATTTTTATTATAAATAATGAAAGATATATGTGTTTTGCATAAGGAATACAGTGTTTTCTTCTCATGGCAAAGTACCATTAAAGCCTCGGGTTTTATAATATTAGGCCAAATTGGTTTTTTCTCCTTTTTAAAGTTTATTGGCTCCGACTTAAAACCATCAAGTCTGGTCAGAATCAACTCAGTCTAGCTGATGCAGAATCATGTGCATTTGAAAATCAGTCTTTGCTGAGATGTCTTTACTAACTACTCAGGACCCAGCACCTTCTTAAGGCTTAAGGTTTCATGGCAGCAGGTAAGTGAATAATATTTTCCATTCACCATGTCTTGGTACCATTGAAAAAATACATTATGGCACAAACCTAACCTGTTTTTGTCTTTCCTGAATCTCCATTTCCCTCAAGTAGACTAGATGCTACAGGCAGTTTCTCATTTATGCCAATCTTGCATTCTCAGTCCATTTTCAACTTGCTCTAAACATCTAAAATATTCAACTACTACACAAACTTCAGACACACTATAATTTCCATAGCACATGTGCCTCCAAACTTCCAGCTGAACCTAAATCTCCTGACTTGTGAATGGCAGTGTTTTTTCACCTACATGTTAGATTTAATTTTCAAGAAAACCAAAGAAAAGCCTGGCCTTTTACATGTCTCCTGTCCCTTCTACTTTTATCTAAGTGAATACAATGTACGAAGTATGCCGGTAACCTTTTCCTTCATTCTCTCCACTTCTTCCAAACTTGTTTTCTCCAAATTCTATATTCCTTGGTCTTCTGGATGGTTTGGATGCCTTTCTTGGAATGGACTAATATATTTCTACTTAATTCAGAATACTTTATTAAAATTAGCCTTTTAATATGGGTTGTAAATAAAGTTTTTACCAAGGTAGCATGAAAATATAACACGTAAAAAAAAAGGTTAACCTTGTTAGAAAACTCTTGCTATTATTAAAATTAAGGCAATTCATTCCTTCCTTATGATTTACTTTAAAACCATTTGCAAAGACAAGGCATTTACTTGGATTTCTTTGCCATTTCCTCTTCCTTTTTCATTCTTACATATTGCACTTGGTTCACTGTAGCTGTCTGAGTACACTGCCACTTGAGAATCATTTTAGTATTATTTGTGGTACAATTGCCTCATTTTAAGCATTCCACGCTATCGTGCTATGTAGCACCTAAAGCTAGTGTTTAAAGGCACTTTTGATAATACAAATTGTGGTTATCTTTGAACAGCTGGTATCCGTTAGCATTTCAGACCATTTCAGCACATCAGGTAGAAAGTTTTAAAGTGGACGATGAATGTGAATTTACTATGCAATGTGTACCTTTCTATTAGCACTGCCTACTTAAACTCTAAATTTGGTATATTTATTAAGAAAACTATTTAGATTTTTTTATTTCTTATAGTCAAAGGTATGTTTTTGCCTTTTACATAGTGTGACAAAGGAATATGTTGGTCAAGACAAGGCTGTTTCAGTGTTTCAGCTTTAACAAGAATGTCGTATTACAGGTCCTCACTTTCTACTAAGCCGGTGTTCAGTGTCAGGTGAGATGGGCTGGCTTCAGGCTGGAACGCTGCTTTGATGTCTAGTCCCTGGTCCGAAAGTGCTGCATAGCGACTGGCTGAGGGGCGTACTTTTTTGGGCTTGGTGCTTTGTGGCTGCTGATGCCACTGGGCTACAAACAAACAAAAAATTAGGATGTTTTAACCAGGATATAATTGGAAAGCCTTTAGATGTTTCAAGTAATTACAGAATGTCTTTTGATATACCCCCAGGCACATGTTCTTTATGAAAGACTGGACACATCCATGGTAGAAATACTAAAATTTAAGGATAGTAGAACTGTAACAGCTAGATAATAAAGTATAAATACTTGCTGTAGCACAGGGAATCCTTTGAAGTAGTCTTAAGTTTCCTAATACACCTCTCCCCCCTGAAAAAAAATCTTGAGAGCTCAAAATGTATCAATGCCACAATAATTAGTTTGGTATTCTGGATGGATGTTTTAACACTGATGAAAAGGAGGATGAGGTCACTCATTTCCTTAAAATCCTCACAAAGTCATTATTCAAGGAGAGAAATTCTTAACTTCTAGTTAGTTTTATGTCAACAGATCACATAATGCTTTTGTACTAGTTTTAAATTCAATAGGAATGATTTTCTTTAGGATGCATGTAGACAAATGCACAAACCTATTGCTCAGCTGCTTTAAGATACATTAATGGGAAAAGCACCAAGCCACATAAGTATGCATTCCAATGGTACACACATTTAGAGTGCATTAAGACACTGTGATAAGATTATAGTAGAAGAAGAAATGTTAGACAATCATTTGTAGAACACCGTAACAATAATGTGGAAAACGTGGTTATGCCTTAGCCTACTGTTAACGCCTAAGGATGCTTGAGTAAGGAAGCCACAACTGACTAGCCAACATAAATCAACATGCATATTTTGCTAATAGTGCAAAGTTCCTGAATGATACTTGAGTATTTGTTCTCCTGGTGTAGTTCACTATTAATGTTGAGAAACTATAAATAGAAAGAGAAAGAGCAATATGAAAGTTTTGGCCAAAAACCACTATATAAGATTAAAGTAATGTAATTAGCTCTCCAGCTATCTAATTTTTCATAATTTAATGCATAAATGCAACAAGATGAGATGAAGTGGCACTCACTGTAAACATCAAGCCTGGCAGTACAGGACACAATCCCTGCTTCATTCTTGGCTGACACTGTATACCACCCGGCATCTTCTTTTGTGGCTCCCTGAATTAGCAGGCAGATGTAGCCATGATTATCCTGGTGCATGCTGGAGAAAAGGATAAAGTCATTAGGGTTCTAAATTTTTAAAAATTGGCTTTGGACACGAAGCATTATTTTTAATTAGATCATTAGAAACAGAATTGTGCAAGTAGTGGATAATAGGGCCATACTTATTCTGGAGAGGCTACTGGCCCCATTAAAGTTAATGGGAGAGAAGAGCAGACGTCAAGAGGTTGAATAAATCTGTGCACTTAATTTCTAGTTAAGGATCTGCCCTTACAAAACCACTGAATAGTTTGTCACCACTGAAGCAAATGAACTCTTTTCTTTTAGGTATAAACACACAAAAATCATTATATTAAGTTATAATGTGCTTCATCACATACCATTATAGCTTCTTTCTAAATAAAAGTTTAATTATAGATTAGGGTAAATATTTTTGTCTTTGCTATCATCAATAGCATGACTTTTATACAGATTTATGTGCTGTAGAAAGTGTATCTTTTTATGTGTCATTAGGACCAACCAGTTAAGGATTAGGTTAAGTCACTGTGTATTCTCACCTCACTCGGTCAGTACTGTAAGTGAGTGATTCATTTTCTTTCTTCCAAAATATCTGAGGCGGTGGCACTCCTGAAACACGGCATTCCAGTCGCACTGGGTACCCATCAGCAACGCCTGTGTTTTGCAGCTTCTCAATAAACACGGGAGGTTTGTGTGCTTCCTTAGCTACAAAAACATGAGATGATCTATCACTGATAGGTAAAAGGAGTACTACAAAGAATTCAGAAGCGTTTTGAAATATTGCTTAAATATATATTTTATGACACCATTTTTCACTTCAGGTGGTACGATGCTAGTCCTCTCTCCAAATTATTCTTTTACTAAGAAAGGTTCCTGTGCTTCATTCCGCTCATTTCTTCAATTAATTCAGTTCTGAGAGCCCCACACAGTCCACTGGCCATCTGCTGCATGGAATGCCTGTCTGACAGGCTGCATGAGACCCCTAAATCATTGCTAGCATCTGGGGTGGCTTCATTACTAATTACGTTACTGTGCACTCTCTGCTTTTACCAATCACTGCCACCTAGTGACAATGAGGAGGAATCTGATTCACTTAGATTCCCTCCCTGCTGTCTGAAATGTTTACTATGAAGATTTTTAAGTCCTGGCTTAATTGGAACATACCATAGAATTTAAAGTGTGGGTGGCGGGGGTTGGGGGGTGGGGATAAAGGAGAGGCATCGTCATCTAAAATTGGTAGCTTTAAAATAGTTACCTATAAAGTAGGAATGTACGTCCTACAAATTCCAATTTGTATTCTTTCTAGGGCTATAAAAAAGACAACTTAATTATTACCTTGAAAGAAGCCATAAAAAAGAGCGAGCTTCATTAGTCTGAAAAATTCAGAGCTTATTGTTAATAATACTCTAAGTATCACCATTCAATGGGAAATTGTTTTCTTGGATCTGAGATAGAAACAATTGCAGAGAAATAGGTTTAGTTATTTTCTTCTGAGCTACTAACATGTCTTTTTCCACCACTCTCATCCTCTAGAGTGACAAATATATCAAAGCAGTTATCTGACCTAGGCTATTTTGGGGGAATAGACTTCACTTTGAAAAGAATATAAAATATATATAAAACTAACATCTACTATTTTGGAGCACTGCTATGCAGGGTACTGGTGATTCAGAGCTTCATCGATACTATGAGGCATTACGTTCTCCATTTTACATATGGGGAAACTGAGTTGCAGAGATGTTATATATTTGCCAAAGGACAGAGCCAGTAAACGAGAGCAGGGCTTGGAACTGAGATTTGCTGTCAAAGACTTTGCTTTCAGTAACAGCACTCCGCCATCCTCTAACAGAAGTGCCACCTGAGTCATATAGAGATGTCTATGTCTCAGACCCTCAAGTGTCAGTCCTGAAGGACAGATAGCACATTTAACAAGAGAAAATCGGTTTTAGTCTGATGAGGGATAGTGGGGGGAATGAATGAAATCAATCCTAGTAATATCAAATACTTAACACAGAGTTTAAAAGCATAGCTAACACATAGCACCACAATCCAGATGTGAAAAACATCTTTGTGCTATTATAAAGACCTCCTGGGTTTTATTCTCATTGCTACTTTATTTGTTGAAAGAGCTCAGCAGCTCACTGTTTGGAAGAGCACTAGGAGTCAACAAATCATTTGAGTCTGGCCCTCAGCTGACTAATGGGACCCTGGGTAAGCCACTTAAATAAGAAAATTTGCTCTGATTACCTCATAGGGCTGTTATGAATACTGTGTATATGAGGTGCTTTGCAAACAGAGGTGTAAGAAATAAACATTGTTTCTTTTTAAAAAGAGAATATCAGTCTTATGCTCAGCTCCTAAAGATGATGTAACTCCATAAATTTATTGTCCTTATCTAAGGGTAAGACTTTAATCAATTAAAAAGCAAATCTGAATATGACTATGACATTTGGGGTAATGTTTAAAATTTTCAAATTTTGAAATTGGTGCACGCTACAAAAAAGGGAAAGATGGAGAACTTTATACACAGGCATATTCTTATACGTTAAGTCTGGTCTTGGAGCCCATGCTGCTGCTGTGCTTTCCTCACAAGAAGCACCAAGATCCTTTTCTTTCTTTGCTAGGCTAGTGGAAGAAAGATTAATAATAATGGCTACACTGAAGAAAAGTCAGTGATCTTCTGTATCTTATAACATGTCCTAATTGGCTATTTTCCATATTGGTTACTAATGCAGGATTAGTTTATTTTTCTAAATATGATGTTCATTCTGGGAGAGAAAAAGGATTCAGACAAGCCTACCTGCAACCACAAGCTCCAGGCTGAACGAGTTCTGTCCTGCTCGATTGGTGGCTATACACGTGTAGATGCCGGCATCTCGTGATGTGACAGGCTCTATGATCAGAGAGTGCACCCCGTTCTCACGGACGAGCATCTTGTGAGCACTGTCGGGGCGGACTGGCTTTCCGTCTAGTTGCCAGCTTAGATCTGGGGTTGGTAATCCACTGACCTAAACAAGGAAATGCATATAAATTTCTTTAATATTAAAACAATGAAATCGACAACTAAGAATCCAGCCTAAATTCCTCCTTTGGTAGGACAGGAGATGGCTTTTAGAATCAGGTCATGTTAGTCTTTTGATTAAAACCTTCCAGTGGCTTCCTAAGCATGCATGGCTCATTTCTAAACATTCCTTATAACACAACCTAGAGAAAAGTGAAATGGGGATTAAAAAAATTTTTCTGTCATCATCTTATCTCACCAAGGGTTACAACGATTACTGGGATGGCAGCAGCACAAGGCCCTGAGCTCTTTGGAGAAAGATGTTCAACCATAATAGCACTAACAAATACTCAGATTTGGGAAGCAAACAGCAATAGTTAGGCAGCTTGGCTTCTGAGAGGGTCAGGCTCCCATTTATACACTATAACGCTTCTCATCAAAGAGTTGCCATAGCTATGGAGACATTAGTTAATGCATCCGTCAGCACGTAGGGCTATTACTATTATTTTATAATCCTTGAAATTGAGTAAGAAGAATAGGAAATTACCCAGAAAGCCATATCAACAAATTAGCATCAGAATGGAAACATCATAAAATCTTGAGACCATGACAGTTGTATTGACCAGAGATCAGACAAAAACCCATTTAATTGCTAGTAAATAAGCTGTGCTGTGAAGGGTGAGGATGGTTGCCATCTGTCAACTCTTTACAGCTTTGCCCTTGATTTTGAATGGGAAGAAAAGCACCATTAAAGAAGGCCTTTTTACATCACCCCAAATTTACTAGTGGGAAATTACATTCAAAAATATGTCCATTGGACTATAAAATTCTTTTGAAGTCCCAGCTCTGCCCAAATCAGCCAGAGAACTCATAAATTCC